CCGTTTGCAGTGGCATAGGCGTTATTCGAGTGCTGGGGTCTTCAGCCAGTGCTGAGGACGCTGGGCTGGGAAAAGAGAACATTTTGTAGCCACACCTGTTTTCCTATTCAGTAAGATCAAAACCAGTTTGTTGCTATGAATATCTTTACCATTCTTCTTAACGTGCTCAAGTGCTTCCATCTGCCCGGTATTAATATTTATAACTTTAGACATCTTAAAGTTGCTAGATACATGAATGATCCTATTAAGTTTTCAGAAGTTCTTCTTCCTGACAAGGCAGCAAATAAACTGAGTCAGGCATTTACCTTCCAGCTAACGTGCTGCTTCTGTAATGCAAACACCACCAGACAACTGCTGAGAGCTAATGCAGCCCTTATCTCGCTCAACAGGAGCTTGATTCTACACATTTCTCAGCAGAAGAGCTAACTTACTGATTTCTTCTTCTAACATTTGGTGGCATCATTTCTTAAGCAGAATCTAAGCCACCAGCAACCTGTTGCTGTTATTAGCTAATAGGCAATGATAAACTCTGAAGAAATGCCATGTGTAGAAGGAAAACTTTTTTTGAAGTTTGAGGCAACCTATTTCTATAAACATAGATGTTACTTACTCATCTCCTGGAAATTAATGAATTCCCTGTTCTTTGCTAATTTAACAGTTAAGGCATAAATTGGGTGGAAAATGTGGCATGTAGCTAGCAACCTTGCAGCTTTTCCCTGTAACATGAGAGCCCCGTGGTCAGTTAAGTGTGTCTCAGACTTCAGACATGAGCCCACACTTTGTGGTGTAAAGGCAAAACTCCCTTTGATCAAAACTCTGAATCTGGAATTATGGAGTCACTCCGTATTGCCCATTGATACACCGGGATAAGATCTGGCTCACACTTTTTGTTAAAGAGCCCTGTTCATTCATATGGTAACTAGAATCAACTATAGGAATGAAATATAAAGCTTGGGAACAATATTATCTGGGAAAAAAGCCTCAGGAATGATTTGCTGATGATGATGTGATGTATAATCTCCAGATGTCTGAGGCATGAAGGTAAAGAAGAAAATTAATTACAGGGGCAGATAGTGACACTCCACTTAGTTAGAATTGTATTTACAATGCAAATTCCTGTTGTTTGGGGGTTTTAAGGCTTTCTGTCTCAGTGACACTATTGTGCTCTGTGCAGGCAATTGTCATTTAGCTTTGATTTCCAGCTTTTGTCAGTTTGTCACCACTTTATTATTTAAATATATTTTTCTCTGACAAATAAAGGCATTGTAAGAGTATGACAGGAGAATTAGAACTTCTAAAAGAATAATTTCTGTTATTGTTGTAAACAATGCAAAAGCTGCCAAAAATCTTCTACAATGAAGGGATAGTATTATTGTCTTGTCTTAACACTGAAAATAAAACATACATCAGAGTTAGCCTGGAGTTGTCAGCAGAAGAAGGGTATATGTTTTATTAGGGATTTCTTTAAAATTTTGTCCTTCTAACCATCCTCCCTCACCACCACCACCCCTGCCCCTGAGAAAAAAAGAAAAAAAAGAGGAAAAAACCGCTCTCGCTCTTGTTAGAAAGATTACCCTGGAAAGTAATTTGCTATTCCAGGAGCTTTTTGAATGACTGATACATTCCGTACCACTTTGCATGTCATTTGCTTGATAATGATTTGGCCCCCTCCGTCTCATACACTCCAGATGTAGAAACTGGAGTCCACATAGTTACAGACAAAAATCTGTCTATTGTCTTGTGTGTAATTTGTCTGTGTCATTCTAAAAAGGGTTTGCACAAATCTGGCAGCAGCACAACAGCCACTAAAATCTTGTACCTTGAGAGCATGAACACGACAACAATCACTGTATTTCCTAAATCATTACTATCCACGCATCACTTCAGCACAGAGCTTTCACTTTCCCAGCATCATGAAGGGAGCCACTCGCTCCTCTTTCGAGTAATCCAAACGAAACGTGTTTGTTCCTGTATCATGACTCCCAAAATTCATGATTACAAATCAAAATAAAAAAAATTAATCATGAGACAGCTACCAGCAAAGAAGTTTTGTTCAGCAGTTTATAAAAGCAGCATATGCAGCTAGTTTTTAATTTTCTATTGCCATTTGTTTATTAATTTTGGCCTAGCGCCTGTGCATGCAGGTAAAACCATAAAGGGAAATCAAGAGCAGGTGTTTTCGTTGATATTGTGTCCAGATGTGCATAACTGACAGAATGAAAGTTGTTTCAAAAACACAGATTCATTGACCTTTTCAAAACCTGGATCTATAAGAGTTAGAGATCAGTTCTTACATCGAGCTGCTGAGTATGCTGGGGTGGTTTTGGGGTGTTTCCACTGTAAATGGGGCTCCCAAAGCTATTTCAGTGGAAAGTCTAGAATCTGATGTTATTTTCTTTCTTGCTCCTCTGCCCCCTCCAGTCATCCAAAGCTCTATTTTCTCTAGTGTGAGCTGTGTCACTGATCAGCTCTGCCTCCAGCAGATCCTCTGGCTCGAGAGTGCCTTCAAGTGTTTGCCTGGTTGGAGAAAGAAAAAAAAGAAAGGAAAGGAAAATTAAGTGAATTTGTGAGATAAATCATTTGGAGAAATCAGGTTTACTTGCTCCACCAGTGTCTCCTTCCCACTACGTCCTGCACAGCCAGGTTCTGTTTTATTGTTCTTCTAAACGGCGATTTTGAGTTTCTCACCATATGGCTGAGTGTGTTAAAGCCAAGTACTCTGTGCTTACTGTAAGGACACGGGAGGGCTGCCAAGGACCAGCAGGATGCCCCAGCATTGAATTGTGCCAAGACAGAGAGGGAACGTAACATGTGGAGGATATGACACAGGGCTAAGAGCAGTAGAAGATCACTAGCAATGATAATAGAGAGGAATGGGGGTTTCTTGCTGTCTGCTTTAGGCAGCCTGAATTTCAGTGCAGTTTGGAGGCTTGAGGCCAGATGTCCAGGTCCCCTGCGTAGGGGCTGGAGAGGCAGAGCCAAACAACAGCTATAATTCAGAGCATTTAGCCAGCAGTTCACAGACTATAATCCAAGCTACCAAGTAGATTTCACTTCCTAAGAAAACAGGGAATTCAGTAGAGGTTGGCTCTGTGTCCCCATCATCCCACTTTTCCACCTTCTGTGCTCTGCAAAGCCCATGCGAAGCAGTCATGCCAAGTCTGATCACACGTGTCTCCCGGGGCACTGAGAGGGGCAGAGAAAAAGCCAAAGCAATTTCATTTTTAAATTTCAGTTTATATTCGTGGCAAAGTTTCCACAGCATTCTCCCAGCTGGAGTGACGATAATGAGTTGTCATGCGTTTAATGTATAGTACCTGTTTCATTAAAGCAAAATAGGTTACTGTGAGCCAGTGGGCAGATCACTTCGGGGGCAGAAAAAGCCCCAAACCTCAAGCTGATACCAAACACTGGATTGAAAATAAATAAATAAATGAATAAATAAACCCTTTCTTCCTTCAAACAAGGAGGGCAGTGAAGAAGAGTATCCTCCTCCTCTGCCTTAAGAGAGACCTCTCATGTTCAGTTCTTAGCTTGATCGCATGCCCCAGACATGGGGCGTCTGATCTCTGCTGCTCCACAACAGGACACGGAGCCTTAAACGCCAGCTCTGGGTCCCGGTGCCCTCTAACTGCAGCCACCTTTTTCAAAGGCTTGATGGCATTAGCAGACAGACAGCAATGCACACATGCATCTCAAAGGCCTTTTAACCTAATCCATATTTATAGATCATCTTAATTAAGTATATACTGGGAAATCTTTGTTTTGCCGTTGGTTGTTTGCAGTGGCTCAATCAATTCTGATTGCATCTATACAGATTATAAAGTGGGTGGCAACTTGTGTCAGAACTGCTGTGATTTCTTTACATTAACCAGAGGTAACATGACATGTTCTTGATAAACGTGGTAATAGCAGCAGGCAAGTGCATGGCTGCAGAAGAGTAGACATGCCCTGGAATCGTCATTCTGAGAAAAACCCTGAAGACAGGGATTTGCTTCGAAATTTAGTTCAGATCCAGTTGACAAGGAGTCGATTAGCTTCACAGTGAGCAAATGCAGCACTGTCTTGTTTGCTGCAAGAGAAAACAAACAAAATGTCAATAAAAAATTACCTCTTTGCCAGAGGGTTTCAACACAATTCAAGTAAAGAAATAAAGCTGTACATTCTGTGTTGCTTTAAAAAAACCACAGGTCTAGCACCTTAATGTGTACCAAGGTAACCACATTTTTCATTCCTTAGCCCACTCTCTGTCTAAACTCATTTGCTTTTTCTGCAAAACGAAGAACAAGCCCACACACAAATGCTGAAATCCCAGTCTATATGGCTGACTACAGGCTGTGTATTTAGTCCAAAGAAGTTATACTAAGAAAAGTCAGTTGAGCAATGAAGTTCCCTCCCAGAGTGAAGAGCAAACAAAGATGGGGGACAAAAATAACTCATTTCTTTAAAGCTATAGTTAGAGTCACTGGAATATATTTCGCATTGATATGTGTTCTCCTGAAATCAAAGGGCTATTTGGATGTGTTTGCTGGCAAAAAAAATCTGGCTTCATGTCTGCAGTTCAACTAATTTTGAATTGGTTGCTCTAACCGTACAGATTTAAATGTCTAAACGCCTATCCCACAGGGGCAAGCCTTTTCTGTTTTTTTTCATGTGCAAGGACTGAAGTGTTAATAGAGTATTTCAGGGCTTGGGATCCACTCTGTCCCTCTCCTGTCCCAGCCCAGTAAGTTATAGAGTGGTGATTATCTTTCTCTTGTTTTTCCTGCAATGCAAAGAGGAATATTCCACGTCCGCCATAGCTTGGATGAGCAGCAGCATCCTTACTTTCTCCTGTGAACTTTCTAACAAAAGACTTGGAGGCTCCAGGAGAGGGTTCAGGCTGAATCCTCAGCGTTTCCAGTTTCCAGAGCGTATGTAGCTCTGCACTCAGATTGCTGTTAACCAGCTCTTTCTTTATGGACACACAGACACCTAACTTGGGGTGTTCGTTCTGCTCTGGGGCCAAGCAGTCTCCTACCGGTACCGTGGCAGTGTTTCACCATGCATCTCACGTCGGAGAAGCACGTTTTCACTGCGGACAGCGGTAGCCCTTAATGCATTGAAAAACAAAGTGTTTTGTTCCCTTTAGTACTGTCCTCAGCAGTCTTTTCTTTTCTTATCTGCTGATATTTGTGTGTGGCTTTTCAAAAAAGTTCATCTTCAGTCCCATTAAACGCTATGACTGTTGTACCTGCCCACGAGCCCTTGCAGCGCAGCCAGTTCTGGAGCAGAGCACAGCAGTCAGTGGTGCAGACTGAAACAGTGCTGTGTTGGTGTGAGCAGCGCAGCATTGTATCCCACGCAATTACAGCAATAGCAGTGGAGAAATTTAAATTTGTTGAAGATGCTGAGGTTATCACCCTTATTTTAGCAAAAGCAGCCCACTGATCTTAAACAGCAAGGGTCGCAGACTCAGAGAAAAAGATGATCTCCTGCTAAATCACAGGCACTGGCTCCTGCAGTTTCTGTAGGTTTCATTCCTTCCAGTCCTGATAATCCACCAAGTCCTGAAGCCTGCAACAAGTGTGAGGCTGAGCCAGAGAGAAGAGCAAGTTCTATTTCATCCTGTTATTTGTCTGAAAAAAGGTCTGTCTTGTTCTGTACACTGAACACATGCACAACAGGCTTTAATTCAACGAGCTCTCTGAATTGCCTGTTTCAATCAGATGGTCTTGCTAGTAATGCCAACTCTTATTTGTTTGGGGATTTTTACTTAGAATGTTCCTTTTTAATTAATATGTTGACAAACAGTCATCCATATTTAATTGCTTCCAAAAGAGGAAATTTAATCATGTGTACTTGTTCTGTTTCTTAAATTGCAGTGCTCTGGCAGAGCACACTTCTGACACATGTGCATGGAATAAACTCTTTTTGCCCAGAGGTTATTGTGGATATCTACCATTTAAAATAAAAAGAGGGGGTTAGATGAATGCAGGAACAATTAAGCGATGTATAATGGTGATGGGGATGTGCCGAACTAATTTAATTGGGGATTTGAAGTAATGGTCTCGCACAGTATTTGACATTAAAGACTTTGCAAATATAACAGCGAAGCTCCAATTAAATGTCCCTTTTCCCTCTAAATAAATGTACTGATTTATTGCCAGTGCCTGAGATACCGTCCTCTGCGTGGAAGAAAGGACTCAGTGTCAGGCTGCGGTGTGGGCTACAAGGACATGTGGAAGGAATTGTAGCTGTGAATATGTAATTCCTGGCCACTAAACACTATCTGAGCGTGGTGGCTTTCCTAGCCTGGAGCGCCCTGAATGGGCCCATTTTGTGTTCTAGACAGTGTGTATGTTGGCAGAGCTAAACGTATCCTCTGTGCTGCTGGAGCGAGGACGCTAGGGAAGCCAGCTCAGCTGAGAACAGAGGAGTGGTTGAAAATTTACTCCCAAGAGGCATGCAGTGAACATTTTTGAGGGTCCCATTCTGATTTTATGAGCAGCATCTTGGTCCGCTCTCAGGCCTTAAGAAGTCAGCCAGCCTTAGACAAGGGCAGTCTGACCTGCAGTGTCCAATTCAAGGTCTTTGAAGGCATTATCTCAGCCTGACAATGATTTTTACTGCAATTTTACAGATTTGGGGCAATGTACTGCATTTTGCTGAGGTAGAAGAGTTACTGTAAGGAAAGCAACCACAATGCAAAGAAAAGTGTCATTAGGAAATGGTTGTGATCCATTATTTCGCACAAGAGCTTGAAATATAATTGTCATTAGAGAATACTTTCCCAGCGAGACTGGAGCACTTCCAGGAATGATGCTGGGGCTGCACATACTTCATTATGGGTCCGGTCTGTCCAAGGCCATGGTGTGGTCCTTCCAGTGCCAGGAATGGCACCACCTGGTTTTTGGAGGCAGATTGAGCTAACAAATGTTGTCACTTTTCCACAGCAGGGCAAGGTTCATCAGTTTAGAAAAAAACAGGCTGAGATCTTGGCTCTTTCTCCTTTTTGTTTGTGATGAATCAACAATAGCACTTGAAAGTTGACGAGGGTCAGCAGCCTTCTCGCACCAAGCGTCCTTGAACTGTTTCCAAATTTCAAAGCACAGCCTTCCCTGGATGTCCACAGGGGTAACTTCAGCAGCACAGGGCTTGTCTCCTAGGCTGCTTCTGCAGCAGTAAAAGAGCCAAAATTAGCTTCTCCTGAATGCAAAATGGGTTTCTCCTGAGAAGGAGCTGCATGTTGATCAGGCTCCAGGTACAGACAGGAGCTCGTAGCTAGGGTGCCCTTGAGGCTGGGCCTGCCTTTTTGTTGCACTGTGCTGAACAGCTCTGTGTTGTGCCTGGGTGTCCTACAGCTTTGGGGACACCAGCTGTGCGTGATGATAATAAGGATGACGCTGCTTTCAGCCTTGGTGCTTTGCCCTGCTAATGCCGCGCTTGCAGGGTTAGCATCGCGATGAGCGGAGCTGGTAGTGGTGAGCATGAGGAGCTGAGCACAGCCATTCGTCCTCAGGATGCCGTGTGTCCTCAATGCTGGGGAAATGGACTACAGCGCATCACTAACTTTTGCCTTTTTGTTTGCTGTACCCTTAGATCCTGAAGGCTTAGTTGTTTTATTTTTTTAATGCACTAACTTTTGGGTTTATTTATTTCTGCATTTCCAGAGGAAGCCATGAAGTATCACAGTGGGCCTCCAAAGAATGCGTACATGGAGCAAAGCTTCCAGGGCTTGAACCCCGTCCTGAATATCCCCATTAGTGCCGCCCGCGTGGACCAGGCCAAGAGGAACGCAGGGCTCGTGGGCTCCCGGCTGGAAGCCTGGGTGGACTCTCTGGTCAGCAGCGTCTGGTCAGCCGTGGACATCTGCAGCACCGGCCCCACCGCCTGCCCGGTCATGCAGGGCTGCGCTCAGACAGCCTGGAGCTCCCTGAGCCCGGACCCCAAATCTGAGCTGGGCCCCGTCAAACCCGACGGTCGCTTGAGGTAGCATCTGGTACGCTCTCCTCCGGCATAGGTTTTTAAAAGGGAATTTAACCTTGCTCATATGTGAATCTTGCACCACATTTCAGAAACCTAAGGGAACATTATACTTTTTTGTTACTTATTGCAATATAATTCATTTTAAAAGAAAAAAAAAAGTTCTGACAAGGCCTTTGGCACTGCCCTCTCCACCAGCTCTGTCAGGAGCAGCTTTGGTTGTCCTGCAGCCCCTGCTGTCCCACGGGGCCCCGGCCATACCACACACTGCTGTACCCGCCGCCTCTGTGGGTTTCAAACAGTAGCAGCAAGCCACGGAGAGGGCAGTGAAGGAGCAGCTGCTAAAAGTGGTTTTTAAAAATAAATTTGTCTGTACCTCTGCTGTTTCATAGGCTTTCATTATTTTGCTACCATGCATAAATCACAGCAAAATTTCCTTCTACTTAGGCTTCCTGGGGAGGTTGGTTACTGCAGGCGAGAGCCTGCGTGGCTGCATTACCTCACAGAATGTGAAATAATTATGGTACACCCTCACTCTTTTTTAGTAACACAAAGTAATTCCAGACTCACCTAATGTCTGTTTTCCTATTTAGAGAAAATGAGCAAAAGCAGAAGCTTTCAGATTATTTTCAGAGTTTTTTTAGACTAATTTAATGATAAACTCTAAATGGAACCAGTGTTTTGCTGTGTTAGTCTTTTATGTCTCATGCAGTCAGCTTCAGGGTCTGGGTACTAAGAGTCTTAGTTTAAAGAACAAAGAAGCAATTTGGAATTCAGCCCTTTCAAATCTGCAGGTTTTCTTCTAAGCCCACTGGCACCAAAGCATTTTTGCAGGCTTCCAGTACAGCAAGCGTGTATGTGTAGGTTGGGGTGGGTGTGATGTGTCTGCTCACACCCTTTGCTGGTTTTGTTCATGAGCTGAGTTGTTTGGGTTTGGTTTTTTTTCTGTGCAACTCCACTCAGGCAGTAGAGTTGCACAGAACCAGTAAAATGGTAGAATTGGGACTTCAATCTGCAACAACACATTTCTTCCCTAATTTGAGCAGTGGCTAGTAAGTCTTAACACTAATTCCCTCCCTTGATCTCAGATCTGCCAGCTCTCCATGAAGAAGGGTCCTTCTGGGCTTGTGCGGGGCATCTGGAAGGCTGTGCAGGACGTGGGCTCCTGACCGAAGCCGCGAGCTGAACGTGAAGGAGAGCAATGCCATGTTTCTGAGTGCTTTTACTTTATTCTGGTAACAAACTCTACCCTTGCCTGTCTCCAGAATTTCTAGCAGGCTGCATCCTGGTTTAGATAGGCATGTTTTGCAACATTTTAAGCTGCATTTTCTACAGTAGAAAAAAAAAAATTCATTTACATTCCAAGAATTTTTTAAAATACAGGTTTTATATGCAAATTCACCTCCAACTAATGCATTTTACATTCGCATAAAGCATGCACTTTGTTGTCGCTGTGGTAATCTCTTGTTAACAACATAACCCAAAAAGGCTGTTAAAAGCTATTGGGTTAATTGGGGAAAAAATCCTGTTGCTGTAATAAAGTAAGGTATCTGTTTACCCTTCTGTGTGTATGGCTAGCTTTCTGCTGGTGAGAGTTAAACGTCCACATCAGGAGGGAAACAGACTCTTAAATCATTCCGTAATCGCATCTCACAGAAAGGTTGAATTCCCTTTTAAACAACAGTTGCAAGATGACCGTAACACACAGATCCCCGTGGCTTGTGGTATCTCTCTCCGTAGTATTGGTTTAAAGCTACTTGCAGTTTGCTTTGGACTTGAAATTGCAGTGTCAGCTGTGCTGGCATTAAGGCAGAGCATTGCAAAGTTTATCTGGCACAAAAATGGATGCATAGAAGGAACAATTTAGGTATTTATTATTTATGTTTTAGTCAATGACTAATTAGTAGGTGCTGCTGTGGCAGCTTGAATATTATGTTATCTTACTAACTGAAGCTGCCTTTATTAAGAAAAGGCCTTCCTCCCCTCACACCTCCCTTTCTTTTTGTGTCTTGATTTTGACAGTCATGAGAGCCGTAGTTTTAGGAAAGCTTGTAGCAATGAGAGCTGGTTGAAATATTTCAGTCAAGATAATGTTCCAGCTTTTCAACCGGCTCTAGAGGCAAGCGTGTTTAAAACCAGGGTTGCCAACAGGTTTATATAATAGAAACACAGTGTTATTACTTATTCAGTAGGGTTTTTTTTTAACAGTGCTTGTTTTTAATCTAACATTCCTTTGTGAAGTTCAAATTTTCTGGGGACCTCCAATCCTCACTGTGAAATCCAGGGCTTTTAAGTCAATCATGCAATGGCAACTGCGTGGTTCAAGCCCTTCAGATTAAATGAAGAACATCCTATTTAGGGCACACAATAAAATTCATTAACGATCCTTGTCAGTGATTGTTCTCAATAAGACTACTGGGGTAGTTGCAAAAATCTTCAGTCTGTCTTGCACATAAGCATATATGTATAAGGGTGCGCCCACACACACACACGCATGCAGATAACTTGGTTTACAGCTTTGTTGGTAAGTTTTCATTATTAACTAGACCAAGCAGAAGGTGGCAACAGTCTTATTTTCATTTAAAATGTAAGGTGCAAATTATTTTGTTTTAGTACAAAAAAGGGAAAGAAAACAAATGGTTGCTGATATATCTACTTACATGATATGCTAGGTTTAAAATATCTCAAAACAAAATTTGTATTAGTTTATTTTCTGGAAGACAAAAAGCATCTACACAAAGAAGTTTTGTAGCAAGCTGGCAATCCCAGTGCCGCTGTTAAAACATACGATGTAAAACTGAAGCGGCGGGTCCTACAGCCCTTTCTCAGGCAAAGCTTCCACGGCGTGCTGATGCTGAGTAAGGACTTCAGGGTCAGGTCCAGCATGAGTAACAGGAGTGACAGTATGCGAGGAGTAAATGCTGTCTGCGTTTGAAGACACCAAAGGATGAGCTGCTGTGTTTGGAACATCTTCTGGGGGCAGTGTCAAGTTTTGGACCTAAACGACAACCTCTACTATAGCTGTTAATATGCCGACACAGATACTTAAGTTATATATGGGACACTGTGTCTGAGTTACAAAGTACTGTAGTTGTGAAGAAAAACCATGGAAAGCAAGACTCTTGGCATCAGGGATCATAGCTTGCTCCAAGTTGATGCTGTGGCAGTGCTGCTAAGACCGATGTCCTGCTTAAGTGGCTTTTCTGGTTCTGAAATGGCAGGCACTTGGAGCCTGCGGTTAACATTATGTATTGTTAGAAGAGAATAACTTCACAGATCTTACATTTGGTAAAAAGGAGAATTCAGAGCAGGGACCCACAGTTCATACAAAACAAGCAAGTTACACATCTTCATTTGAACGTGCAAGTGTTATTTTCCAGTCACACCGGCGAGTCCTTGTTGAATTGACTGAAAGCCAGTTTTGATCAAAATTCCTCTCTGTGGGAGAGGGGTGTATTTCCATATGCACACATTTCTCCTCTGTGTGTAGTGCTTTGCTCGTTTCGGTTCCCTGCCCGTTCTGCACGATAGCCATGTAACACGTCTGTGATGAATCGGTGTTACACAGAAAGGCAATGTGGCAAAATACAGAACATCTACATGTGTGATTTAATGAATTATGTCCAAGTTAGTCTTGGCATTATGCAAACCTGTTTATATGGTAATGTTAAACCTCGAGGCTAATAGAAATAGCTCAAATGACAGTTTATTTTCAGGTTTGTTGAATTCTTCCTTTGATGACATTTGGACATTGATTTGGATATTTGTATTTTCATTTTCTGATACTCAAGGGGTTTTTGGAATGAAATTATGTCTTCATTTTTTGTGCTCTCAGCAAGCAGAGAATTTTAACAGTTCCTTCATGATAGCAAGTGTTACCCAGGGAAGTCCATCTGTATCTCTGTTGTTAAGCCTTTGTTATTGCTAAGCCAAGAGATACAGGAATGTGCATTCGTGTGTTACAAATTGACTTTCCTAGGAATTGGCTTCAGTGCACAATGCATGTACAGTTGTTTAACAGAGTATTAACAGCCATCCTGCAGCACCTTCAGAAGGACCAGCTAATGTGTATTTGCCTTCTGTCCATCTCCTGCAGCACTAATTGCAGTACTAATGAAGTCTCCATCACTCTTAGCCACGATTATAGTGACCAGAGTAGTGAAGGCAGTGAATCAGAACTGGGATATTCTAAACCTGGCCAAAGGGAGAGATGAAGGGTAAAGAAGATGCTGAAACTTTGCAGAAGTTTGACACAATTGTGCTGCAACAAACCTTTGAACAAACGGGGCGCTTTCTGCACAGCAAGGCTGAGAAATGCCAATATCGTGAGATACCAGCTTTGACTTCCCAGATAAAAAGAAAACAAAATCCAGATTTTTTATTGTGGCCAGGCAATGAGGACTTTCGGTTGATTTCTCTAGTTCTCTTTTCATCGCAGCTGACAGATAACTGCCAGCTTGCTGACGGCTATTACACCCTCCTCGTTGTCTTCCCAGATCCCAAAGCTTCAGGAGTTGGCCACGTGAAACCTTGGCCAACTCCACCACTTTCCATTGAGCAGGAAGTTTTGTACTTGTATGAGCCAAATCCCTTAGGCTTCTTTAAAAGCCCAAGCTGCAGATCAGAAAAGCTTGCTTTTCAGAGCAGCCTTTAGTCAGCTCAGTACTAACACACGTGAAGGAGTTGGTAAAAGTGGTAGCAATTATCTTTTCCTGATTTCCAGGCATGGGTATTTAATATACTTAACAGTAGGTTTGGTTATTTCAGCAACAGAGTAAGATCGACCTCTAGAAAGTGGCAAGCAGCGTTTCCCACTGGTCTTTCTTTGCTTCAGTCTGGTTGTGAGAAGATAACAATCCATAGGTGCTTTTGTTTCAACTGTTCAAGGCCTCCAAGATAGTCTTAAGGATTCGTAGGACATTACAGTAAACCCATATTAATGGACAGTTGAAAACATTATGTAAAAAAGTCTTTCCGGACCAAACCCTCAGGCTTCTGCCAAGACAGCTCTGGGGCTGATGCTTGCAGAGAGGGTAGGAGCGATGCAGTGTTGGGGGGACAGAACACTGCCCTTTTAGGGGCCCAGCAGGAGTTACTGAGAGCAGGGATAGCTGCCTGCAGAGCC